CTATATATATATATATATATATATATATATATATATAGCTAACTAATCTCTTTGTTTGAAATGCTGACACAATGCTTTCAGAAGAAGATGAGGCTTAAGGATCTGTTGAAGTCAAGGAGATGTTTGAAAAAGAACAGGCTAAAGGGAGAGGAAGAGATGGAGATACTGATGGGCTTAATAGACATGAAGATTGTGTCCAGAACTTTAAGGATGCATGAGATCAGCCACGAGCAATTGCACTGGTGTGAGGAGAAGATGACCAAAGTGAGAGTATGTGATGGGAAAATCCAAAGAGATTCCTCCCCGCTTTTCTTCCCTGTTCAATGACTCCAACGTCGGCAGTGTTGTATAATCTGCCGTGCTTTAGGTTGCCTGATGACTAGAATATGCATTCCACCCTCCCTCTTGTCACTGTAAAGATACACCCGGAGAGGTGACCACAGTAGACATGTGGTGATCACTTGAAGCTTTGAGCATTTGGGTTCCATGTCAGGAAGAAAAAGTTGATAGGTGAAGGATTTCCTCATGAGCATCGAATGGCAAGACAAAAGTGACCAAGAATGAAAGCGAGGGACGGGGGGAAAGAGACGAGCGCAACTTTAGCTTTCTTTTACTTTATTATTTATGTTCAGTGGTGGGTGGATAAGGCTCCCTGAAGACTGGTATTTGGAACACACACACACACACACACACAAAAAAAGAGAACTTGTTCTGGCTCATGCATTACCTTCTCCTCATCAGTTAAAACAGGGGATTATGGCGCTGAAGATAGTTTAAGATATCCATGGGGACATCATGCCTGGCCATGTAATCTTTGTGCAGGAGGGGGAATATACTCGATGCCCGTAACCCAAAGCTGTGCTCGTGGGTCACATATGTGTAGTGTTTGTATATAATATAGTCACTGGTGTCTCACACAAGGATTCCTCTGTTCTCTGGTTGGATGCGATGCAAGCATATCATGGATGCTATAGCGATGTAAAGGAGTTTGGTATAATATAGAGAAACTTCCCTGAATACCAGTTGGTGGTGCCAATTTTCCGCATGTTATTTATTTATTTGTATGTGAAGTGACTAAGTTATGTTAATGAGCAAATAAAACTTCACATAAATATAATGGATGCTCTAAATGAACTCATTGTATATATATATATATATATATATATATATATATATATATATATATATATATATATATATATAACATCGATGATGCCAATTGCCGTGGCTCGCGGTGGGGCCAGAATTGGTGGAACAACTGCTGATATCTCCTCTGGTGATTAGGTGTGGGGCCCAAATCAGAGGCCACCGTGGCACGGGAATTGCCACTTCGAGTATATGTGTAGTTGGAGATGATCCGCATCCAGCGACCGCCACGTGTCTTTTGCCGCCCTGCGCCGTTGGAAAAGAATCGACCTCAGGTTGTTGGGTTGGAGGAACCGACCAACAAGAAGAGCAAGCCCAGGGGAGAACGGGGGGAGAGAGAATCGATTCGGGAGACCTGTGGTGATGGGGATGGAGACGGAAGTGTTCTTGAGGAGTGTGCGCGGGCGGCTCACGGAGAGGATGTATCATGTATTCGTGGGGAGGCCGGCGAGCGCCGAGGTTTCTGCCACGCCTTCGAGGACCCGCTTGCCGGGAACCGACGGCCGCTTGTTCCAGGTCGGTAGGAGAATTACCTCTCTCGTTCTTTGGTTTGATCCGTGTATTTTCTATTCGAAATGGGAAATCGTTAGCTTCATTGTTCGTGATAAGGGATGCTATACCATATGCTTCGCCACTCCAATTCATGCTTCATATTATCAATTCGTTCTTAATGTCAGAATGACATTTCATCTCAAATTCTGGGCTTTCAGCTTGTTCGGAACAAAAAGAAGAAAATAAAAAAGGAAATTGGAGTGCACCATTACATAATTTCATCGAATTCTTCGGTTTGGAAAGAGCGAGCTTGGAAATGGGAATACCATTATCCTGATTTCGCGATCGGACTAAAACGATCGTATTTTGCTTGACAACTCCTCAATCATCAATCTGATGATCCCAAATATGTGTTTATCGACTTCAATTAACTTCAAATTCTTCTAACTATGGAAAACATATCGGCAATTCTTGAATTTGCGTTGATGTTTAGATATTTGTCACACTTCTTTTAGGGTTTGGGTTTCTTGAATTAGCTGTTGAAATAATGTTTATGTAGCGTGTATCACCAGATCGTTACACACATTCCTGGGCTAATAGAAATGTGCTATTTGGCAGTCCATGAATTGAGTGTTTGACATCTTTGTTTCGATTAATCAGTTTTTGTTCTTTTACTTTTTGTTGGTGATTTTCTATGCTCCTTTGTAAAGGTGTTCATTAGCTAACAATCCATGAATCGTTTGTAAAGGCAAGAACCATATAACACTAGAATTTGCATGATTTTTCTACTTTGTTTTGCAAATTTAGGACATGGGTTTTTGACATTTTCTAGATTGATAAGTGGATCACTTCTAGGTTGATTATATAATAGATTTTGCAATTTAGGAACTGAATGATGGATGATATATGAGGATAATTCGGTAAAACATCAATCACAAATCACTTTCAATCTTGATTCCAGACAAGAAGAGTAGATGGCAAAAAACCAGGTCCAGATTGGGATTGGGTTTGAAAAACTTTGTAAAGTTTTACTACTGCCAAAAACATATCTGGATTCAACCTAGACTTTGAACACATTTCTTGTCAGACATCAAACATGGTTATTTTGGATGACCCAAACTGAACTTGATTTTGTTGAAATATGATGTATGGCATTGATCTACATAATTGGATAGCCTTAATTAATAGGACCCAAGACCAAATTTTGTAAAATTAACAGTAATAAGCAATCTGCAGTTCCTCAAGAAAATAGCATGGAACAACATGTGACTTGTCCCCAGCCCAGAACCAAATTTAGTTGACCTGGTTTGACATGCTTAATGTTAAAACAGTAACCAGATCCTTTTTTTAATGACGAAATCCCAGACGAGCCTGGATTTGAAATCACACAAATTTCTTTCTCTCTTAAATGAGGTTTTGGACAAGAGGGCCTTCACTTAGACCTGATATTTTCTTTGTCTCACTACGTCAATCGGATCGTTAGACCAAAAAAGATTCCTCCATAGGAAGAGTATCTTAAACACAGAAGTAAGTTTTGTTCTAAATTGGTTCTCAACTTTCTTTCTTGTGCACAACTTCTTTTTCTTTTCAATTGAGATATATTGAATGAATTGATATATCTAAATTGGTTAACAAAGATTGTCTTAATGTTAATGCATCCCTTAGTTCTATATGCGGGTACTACCAGTATGCTGCCTGGTGCTGGCCAATTTGTCACAAGGAAAATAAATGTATACGCTGAAATGAAGAAAGGGTAATGAAAGAGTGCATACCCATGTTTCCTCTGCTCCTTCTCATCCTGTTTTTCACATTCTTCTATTTTTGTCACAGCATAGCATGCTCAAGATGACTCTTTTAGTGGTAGGGATTAAGGGTTCTAATCTATAGCTCTACCTCAGTGGATTGACTTAGTCTAAGTCATGTTTTAGATAAGACATACTTGTAACTAGTGAAGTACTATTTATTTGCAATGGTTTCAACTATAAGGGTAATGCAACTATAGGTTAAATGGGCTAAACAGAACTCAATTACCTTTATATATATATATATTGATTTAGCCTATGCAAAGTCTTGTTGGCCCCCAGCATTACAGCTAGAGCAGAACCAGTAAATGTTTCTTCTTTCAGGTCTTTCTGCCACTAAAAGTTCCACCCGATGTGGCTGATTTCGATACTTTAGTGATCAACTTTTATATGAGATGAAAGCAAGCTCGGATGAGACATATGCCTTTAGCGGACGGATTTCATTTTTTTGACGTGAAGTTTCCACTGATTTCATTCTCCACTTGAAGATGAATCTGATGAGACGACACTTGAAGCTCATTGTGACACCTGTCAGAATGATTACTCTGTTTAAAGAGTACATGATTAGGTCTACATGAATATGATCTGTGCATTATTTGATCACAAAATCTTTGTCATTGCCATGTCAAAAGTATTCATAGATCATCTTGTCAGATCTTAAGCTGCAGTGTAACAGCTCTATGTCAGGACAGACCAGAGCCATACGTAAACCATACGACCTTATTATTTATTGTGAGCTATTTCTTCTCTTTCTGAAGTGCATGTAGCATTGGTATGATCAAGCCTCCTCTTAGGCACCAAATGTGAAGTCTTGTCATTTATCATAGCACGCGGCCACCAGTGGACTAAACCTCACATACCCTACTAGGATGATTCTAGACTTCACATTGGTTTGAGCTGTGTCAAGGACCTCAAACCTTTAGTGGAGGAGATTGTATTATCTGATCGAGTGGGAAGAAGATGGACATGATTATTACATGGAGCTACTTAAGTTTATTATGATTAAGTTGAATTTAGGCATTTTGAGTCATATAATTTCAGGCCTATCAGATTAATGCATCAGTCCTTCCATCATATAATGTCATGATATATCACATCCTTGTTGAACATGAAAGAATAATAAAAAATGGAAACCTTTTTTGAGGAACAAATTCATCTTTTTTATCATATTCTGTTACAAGCTCCGAAAAGTTCACCATTTGAGGAACAAATTTATACCATGGTTTTAATAACATCTGACAGTTTCACTTCCGCTGTTGCAACAGTATTTGCATATTGTTTATCCTTCGTCTAATAAAAAAAATGAGACCGCAAAAGCAAGATGAAATTGGTCTGAAATTTCTAAACGAATGGCCATTTTTCCTGTGCAGAAATCATCGATGAATAGCAGTGTACAGTTTGTTGCAGCTTGTTGGCTATGCAAGTAAGCTAATTCTTCATTTTTCCCAATGTCATTTCATAGTAGCACTTGTGTTTTCATCGTGGGTCAGTGACATAATATTAGTGTCTGCTAGCATGCATATGGTAGAAGTTAAAGCTAACACCGAGATTAGACCGTATCTACTTGTGGAAAAGAAGTAGAAACAATTGAACTCCAATTAGACCGAAAGCCAAAGGTCTTATTTGTCCGTCTAATTTGGCTGAGCATTACAGCTTTTGAGCTAAAAGGTTAATAATAGTCTTTTAAAGAAATCCATTTTGGTTATTCATAGAATTAGGTGAAGATACTGCTGCATGCATTCTTATACGTGTCTAAAAGCGTTTGGTGCATTTAAATTGAAGCTCATGAGCTATTGTGCTGATTTAGTTATTCCTTAGCTTTGTAGGATAAAAGTAAATGCATGCATTCTTCAAAAGGTTATTTTTAAAATTTTTTTGTTAGTTATTTACTGTGAAGTCTCAACTTTCTGTAGTTGAAGTTGAAGTTGTACTTTTTATTTATGATCCGAAATATCCTCTAGCTTTCTGTTAAGAGTTCCCTGAACTACTGATTGTTTGCCTTATATGCAAAATCATGTGTTCGCTCGCATCAGTTGCTGTAGGTCGCAAACAGACAGGTTTTGGTGTCCCATTGGATTTTGCATGAGGTCCTTCCAATCCAAAAGATGACATAGGAAAAATTTTGATTGATTGATAGGCTGGTGAAAATTTGAAGTATTAAATTGTTTAATGAAACAAATTATCTAGTTGAGATAAGGAGGGGGAGTTTTAGTGCAATGGGAAAGTTATTCCCATGTGACTTTGGCAACAAAAGGTTCGATCCGCAGAAATAACATGTTTATGTCTTAGAAAAGAAAGGATTGCATACTAACGTTGACCACCCTTATTGGTGGGAGCCTCTGCATTGGGCAACAAAGGCAGGTAGCCCAAAAGATAAACTCTCTAGCCGACCGATATCATCGAAAATTTTCATGTAGTCGAAGCAGGAATCCTCCAATCCATAATCATGACATCTTTTCAATAGTAAATTGATTTGGGACCTGGATTCTAGTGGTCACGTGCCTTGCAGTAGTAGAGAAGACGGAGAAGCTATCCTTTGTTACCATTATCTCGTTTGGTTTGGTTTCTTGGTAGGATGTGTCGACAGACTGCTCAAGCTGCAAGTATAGGGTAGGTGGCTTTGCCCTTATCACCTATTTGGTAAACCTTTGTTCACCGATTAAAGTGTCCGGTAGCACCCACAAACTCTTAGGAGAATTAAGCTTGGACAAGCCATGCTCGAAAAACTAAAAAGGCAAGGGAGTTAAATAATAATAATAATACACAAGTGGGTTGGAACTCTTGCGGCCTTCATTCTCTAGGCCATTTCTCCTATTGTCCCAACAAACCTTCATCTAACAACTGCATCACATCGTAAGTTGACCAAACTGGAGAGAGAGAGAGAGAGAGAGAGAGAACAGTGCCGCCATGGAAGTTAACATCAACCCCTTGTTTCACAGCCTTCAGTGTCAAAAACCAAGACGCAAGTTAGAGAAACAGCACATGAACCACACAACTTTTCACTTAGGTTGTCATTCTTCGTGACATTTTCTTTCCATCAAATTAAGATGTATAAGTTAAGGCCATTCCTGGTGCTGACGGTTCACTCAACAATGCAAGTTATGGTGGACACGTCCCTAACTACGATCCCAGTTACGCTCTCATCTGAGTTGGTTGCCTCTGACTGTTGGTGCTCGTCCTTCTTCCACGGGGGGGAAGCTATGAGAAACTGGAGCTCCATAGCAAGTAAAGCTGGGATCAGGACTATAGCCGTGGTGACGCGGCTGGCGTTGGGAACTCCCTGAGATGACATGACCGATGTAGTAATGCGGATGAGGAGGTTGGTAGGCCGGTGGATGCGGAAGCGAGCGTGAGGAGGAGGAAGGGTGCAGGTACTGTGACACTGGTGGCGGGTTTGGGAGACCTGGGTAGACGGGTTGGAATTGCACACATGCTTCTCCGATGCTGCCGCCTCTATGTTGGAAGCCCCCAGGAGGGATTTGTGAGCCTCCAGTACTAGGATCCCTCAAGCTTTTATTATTCAAGGGACGAACAAGATCAGTGGTATGCCAATGTTTTTGAATCAAGGAAAGGAGACATCTTTAGCCCTAAACTGTGCCATATAAGATGATATTACGTTGCAGCCTACCAATGTACTACTACTACTGAAGGAGGAAAAGAGGTGTTGCACGTAGATAGAATGAAAACCCTAGCTTACTCATGCTAAGAGAGGAAGGATAGAATGAGAGGAGACAGCACATACCCGATGGCACCGTCGTTGCTGAACACCAGCTGACGAGCACGATTGAGCGTCTCCGTCTCCCTCTCTAACGAAAGAGTTGAAAATGGGAACATGAGTCAGTAGGCGCTGCTAGTGTCGGGAATGGGGGAAGAAGTGGTAAAAAGAAGATACTCATCAACAATGTCACATCAACGCTTTCTATGGTGCAACAACACTACTATGCGGTCATCGTCTTGCCTTGGCGATGCCGGTTCATGTGCCCGCCCAGCGCTTGAGATTTGCAGAACTTGAGGGAGCAAAAACGACACTCATACACCTTTGCCGAATCATCCTTGACTGCACTCTTCTTTTTCTTGAACCCTGCAATCTTTGGATCAGGTTAGGTGGCGAGTAATAATGGCAATAACTTTTCTTTCTCTCTGTTTTTGTTCTTTCCCCCCTCTGTTGTATTCAATTTCTCAGTCCTCATTAGACAAATGTTCCAATCTAGATCACATCACTGCTTAAACTTTCTTCCTTGTCGATTCCTACTTACGCGTAATGTCAGCGGAAGCTGCAGTAGTCATCGAGCTTTCCTCTAGCGGTTGCTTACCATGTTCCTCTGGCAAGCTATTGAGGTCTAGCGGGTTCCCTTCTAGTCTCCTGCACCCAACTCATCATGGTTCTTCATCATCAAACGAGAATAGGTAAGAGAAGTTTAAAGGATGGTATAGAACTTTACATGGTATTGCAGCTAAGGAGAAGAAAGCGGAACAAGAAGCGTCCAGCTGAAGGGAAACAAAAAATGAAAGCCAAGGAGATGGACGAGAGGGTGTGGTGCTTTGAGACCAAAAACTGCAGTTTGCTACTGCACTGTAGACAAGGCTGTGTTTTTAAAGCGGGGTGGAGAGAGAAAGTGCTTGAAAGTTCTCAATCAGTTTGTCATTTGACCAGCCGTCTCTTTCTCTCTCTCCACACACTCTCGCTCTCTCTCTCTCTCTCTCTATCGTCCCCTCTTGTCCCTCGTTTCTTTTTTCTTATGCGATGCAAGGGGGCAAGAGCACCTTGGTTAATGTGACTGATAGAAGACGAGTGTCTTCGGCTTTGGGGGATCAGCAACAGTAGCCTTTATTTGTTGGGGGCTTTGGAGCAGTGTTGAGAGGGACGTTGCCTTGGCTCTTCCTCCCCCTACAAACCCTACGTTGCTCCCCGTTCACATTGCTTCATTGCTTTCTAACCCAGCCCTCGTGCTGCTTGAATAATTTCGAGGCAAGGTTCCATGTAAGCCCCACACACTCACTCACCCATCTGTCATCTCTCTACCCCCTCCACTGAATCCCTGAGGAGAAGGAATGGGGGGGGAGGCGGTGGTGGGTGTACCACGTCAGCATGGTGTCCTTCACAGCAAGGGGATCATCCCCTGGAAGACAATAAGGACAAGGGCACCTCTTACAAAGTGATGCTTGGATATTTAGTTAAGAAGGGGTGTGGTAGGTCTCTGGTCTAAAGATGGAGCCTCTGCATCATAGGGCCATCACGGAGTTGTACCTTCAGCTTCGGGGTGCCGTTGCGCTCTCAACTACATTTGACCAATCCGGGTGGTACTGTCGATTTGGTTGGATCGGGTTCGATTCAGATTAGCCTCGTTATCTACCAGAAAGCCATCAATACGAACCTGAGCTCCAGGACTTCTTTTCTTCCTCGATCTCTCTGTCTCTGTCTCTCTCTCTCTCTCTCTCTCTCTCTCTCTCTCTCTCTTTTACTACATTTTTTTTATTTTTCTTTCTCCTCTGATGCGAAGATCCATATCTTGTATCTGATATGATGGGAGTACTGTTTTCTACTCTTACATGGTGATTGGGTTATGGGGATGACAAGTTGTAGCAGTCTGCATAGCCATAGTTCCGATCACCTCTCATCAAATTCCTCAATACATTAATGTGGTCCCAGCTCTGAAATTGACATGGTTCTTTCCTTGCTGGTGCGTCCACCCACCAATTTTTCTCCCTTTTATCCACCGGAGGGAAGGGGGGAGTGGGGCTGAGTAAATGAGATGTGATAGATAGATTTCTAAGAATAGCTACTGCCTCATGACTGACAGTCGAGACTGGACCGTGGACGGGGGGGGGGGGTGTTGGTGTGGGGGGTGTGTGATAGGGAGAGACGGGAAGGAACGGGAGAGAAGGGGAAGCTTTTCCTTGCCCGTCTCACGTGACTTCGAAATCTTTCCTTCTCCGTCCTCTTTGTGTCTCTCGTTGCCGGATGTTTGCCCAGCACCTGTCTCTGTACCTCCATCGGGCATCTCGGCGCTTTGCCAAGCTGCTGTCGTCCTACCACTTCATCCCTCTTCCTTCTACCTCATCTCCCTTTTAAATCTTTAGTTATAACAGTGTATCTGGAGGTTCACAACAAGCAGAGCAGGACAATAAGAAAACAACAAGTCTAAACTCTCTCTCTCTCTCTCTCTCTCTCTCTTTCTCTCTCCCCCTCCTTCTATCTGTCTTTTTATAATTATTCTTGTAAACTCATGGTAGACCAATCTTGAAGTTTTATAGAATATGTTATGGTAAGGATGGACAAAACTTTCAGAACTAGGAAACTAGAAGAAGAGATGTTTTGAGCACTGCATGGAAAACTAAAAAACCGAAGAGAAATTATTAGGATTCAGTGGGTCCTTATTAGAGCTATCCTTTTGATTTCATCATCACTATCAAGGGGGATAATCGTGGAAAATGATACCATAATGATCGATCAGATGATTAAAAGGACATGACCAAGGTAGCTCAGTATTACCACACACAGCGCCAAAGGCGAGAGTCATTTCTACTGTTATATTGAAACATTGATCATCACATCTTTTATCTTATGACCTATTGTCACCACACACATAATAAGCATTATTCAAACCTTGGGTTCCTTGCTTCTTTGAACGTACTAGTTGATGTGTTGGCATATGACCACTTTTGAGCACACAAGCTGATTTAGATAGTCATAGAAACCGCATGGGAAAATTGGAAATGCAGTAAATACATCTGCCAAGTAACACACACATATATCTGTGTTCTTCTGGTGCGAAGGATTAGTTGACACTGTTACAACCTCCTCATACTCATGCCGAGTATTACATCAAAAGTAGAATGATACATACTGATATACGTATCTTGTGTGTGTTAGATTTCCCTCGAGAACAAGTCTTTTAAATAACTGTCCCACCCATGAGGTGAAAAGGCAAGCTTCTGATAAGGGAAAAAAATAACAGGGAACAACAGCTTGTCCGTTGTACATTAGGGTCAAACCGCGTGGGATGTAAACAAATAGCCATTGCAGTAAAAAGCTGGTGCTGTCGTCTTTGTTTCCTTTTGAGTTTGATATCACTTTCATATCAACAGCAGCGAAGGGTGTGCACTGAACTGTGCAGATAGGAGCCTCCCGAAACGTTACCACCTGCATTAGCATTAACCGGGATTTGCGAGCCACTGCCAAACTTTGCTCTCAGGTGCATGGGAAGGAGGAGGAATGTCCCGATCTGCATGAGCAAAGTGTACGTGCCCCTCCCTACCCTCCCTATTTTGTGCCTCATCTTTCCCTTTCCCAAGCCCACCAGGTCTCGCCTCACTCTGTTGAGCTGCTGCTCTCCCAAAAGCCTCTTGACTTTCAAGGAACGATGCTTGTTGTCTTTCCCAGAGGCCTCAATCTCTTGAGCAGAGAAGCGCAGTAATACAGTATATGATGTGCAGTGCAGTGCAGTGCAGTGCACTGCTTTATGGGGTACGGGTGGTCTTAAACAGCCTTTGTTTTGTTTTTTTTTTGCCTCTGCCAAGTATATGACATTTATGGCCTGTAGACGATACGTATATATATGTATGTGTCTCTTCTGGTTCACATAGTGTACCCGTCGTATAACTTCTTGCCATGTGTACAAACTTATGGAAACTTAGTTATTAATCTCTCACTTATGCTTTGATTGACAAAAAAAAAAGGTCTTTTACTAACATTGCTGTAAGTTTTGATCACCCAAAATTAGACAGCTCGGATACAAAGATCATCGAGTTGAGGAGGACAAAATTAAACAAAGCCCATCGAGATTAATATCATCCAAGGGTAAATACTTTCGCCTCAAAAGTGTGAAAGTTGAGGGGCTGAAACTTGAAAGGGAACTGTGATTATTATTATTATTTCTTAAAAATTGTTGGGCTTGTTGGAATGGGTGGGATTGAAGAGGAAATCATCTGACACTGTTGTCAAGTCGCCATCCATTTGGATATCATTACCTGCGGAGGCTCCTCCTCAAAAGACTCTGGCTGTGGCGGCACATGAGGGGCACGGCTCCTGAGACAAATCCAACAACTTTTACCATCATAGATTTTTGGTGGGGTTCTCCACATTCCGTACGATCCAATTTGGAATAGGGGAAGAGGGGAGGGGAGGGGACCAAGGTGAGGTAAGATAGATGGTTTCTTTCATCTCTGGCGTTACATGCACGCTCTGAACCAAAGTGTTCAACTTTCAACAGTATTCACATGTCAATATTATTATTAAGTACGCAACCACTAAAGTTACTATTGGGATTCTAACTCAGATTATTATTGCATCTCAGTGCAGCTGCACCGACTGGACTCATAGCAGGAGTGCAATAATCCAAAACAATGAGATCAGAAATGTGATGTTGGCTATTGAAAATGACAGCGAGGGAGGGACCAACCTTTATCGAAATTGCCCAGGTCAAACGTTCTCTTTTTCACCTTTTTTGGGCAAACCTATGTCCTGTTACACAATTTTACATATATACTTGCGGAAAATAGGAATATAATTCAGTTTTTCACAGTTTTAGTTCACCTTGTCTGCAAATATATGTTCGGTTTTAGTTCACCAGGTTCATGGAAAAGTGCATGTAATATAACTTACAGCTCATGGTCCTCAGAGCGGCATCTTAGGATGCTTCACTATATTTATTGTGATAAACGTATTCATCATGCCTGTGAGCTTCTCCTGCCTCGTAAAGATTGCCCCACTTACTATCAGGTCCATCTCTGTGGTGGCTTTCAGAAGATTGTACATTTATCCTTCAGCCGCGAGACTGATTTAGTTGAGAGAGAGAGAGAGAGAGTAATCAAGTCTGAAACTGCTTGAACTGATTTGCAGAAAACAGATTCGGCAGGAAAAACAATGATCAACATACATACATATGCAGTGAGATACTGAGAGAGTAGTTACTTTCAACTAATGTCTTTGATTCAACAAAAAGATGCATGGTATTTTCTGACATGGAGAGAGGTACACTGTATCGTATCGTAGTACATGCTTCTCTGGCAGAAACATTTAGCCCCTTTCTCATCCTAAACTACTGCCAAGCATCAAATGAAGATTAAATGAACAGATGAGGCTTCATGAATTCTGTAGCGTATCTCCAAATGTCTTGCTTCCCTACACAAAGGCAATGGTGTCTGAATCCAGACGGACATGCTGGTCATGCAGTGATCAAATGGCATCTGCAAGTAATGTCCCTTTTGGTCCGACTCCACTTCGTGATTAGGAGGCTTTCTGAACTTTCACTTTCCTGATGCTTCTGCAGAGTATGAATGACAGATTACAAACTTCCATCTTCCACAGCCAGAGCTTATCCTGAACCTGTCTCGATCGGTGCATGTCCGACCACAATGCCCTCGCCGATTTGATTATGATCGGAAAACCACCAGTATCATAATGCAGAGCTGGTTGGCCGGATGAAGTTCAGCTTTGATGTTTGCAGCCCCTGTCAGCTTGGGACATCAGATGCTAGCAAATTACCAAATATCAGATGAAATCTGTATGAGGTAAAATATTGACTTTTGGCTGCTTTTGTTTGGAAAGCAATTTTTTATTGCTTACCGATGGACTGACATAAAGGATGCTTTTTCTTAGAAATTTCCAGTGCTAAAGAACACCAAATTACCTTTCCTGAAAACCTGATGAGATATCTGATTGTTCCTGATTCAAATGGCTGCCAACTATGACTCATTTGTTCACCTGGTGGAAACTGAACTGGAAGGAGAGTTTCCTATCAGCAAGAAGCAATTACCTGCCTATATATTCACAGAAAGAACAACATGAGAGAGAGAGATATGTCTTGAGTTGTCATGTGTTATGTGTTGATTAAACCAAATTTACATCAAGCTATCATCATCGAAGCCTTTCTTTCTGTATCAAAATCAGTGTAAATTATAGAGTATCATGCATATGTTATGATTAGTTATTCACCTGACACCAATCTTCCGAAGCAAGTATCATTCTGTCCTTCGATGAGGATAGAGAAGAGAAGTTCAAAAGGCCCGTAATGATCAACATCAGAAGAGACAGATGGATGAGCCAACTTGATATTTTGCGGCTTTGTCATACGAAGAAGAGATTTGGTGTTTTCGCCTTTAAAAAGGATAACAAATATGTCTTAAGGGCTGGTGTTATCCAATGCGCTTTACTAATATATTATCCATGTTTTAGAATGAGATATTTGCAACAATAAGACATTAAAGAGATTTTATTTTGACTCAGCTTTTTAGATTAGATTTTACATTTCAGAATGTTTTCGAAAAAATCTTGCAAAACAATATTATTACATTTATTAATTTCAGCAAAATAACATGAACAATTTATGATTTGCTAGAGCATCCACTTGATAAATTTGGTCTGAGAAAGTATGGAGTGATTTCTGTTGCTGGCTAGCATCTGATTAAATCCATGTATTGTGGTAGAATACTCCATTTAGGCTGGCTGGCTTACCAAATTAAAAAGTTCAATTGCCAGCCTAAACGATATTATATTATGCTGTATAACTTATCACCTGATAACCAGAAGAGCATAAACAATATTATATCCGCTACCAAGCATTTCTCTGTGGACCAAGAACACTTGAACTGAAGCTGTCATCAGACGATTAGATTAGATTGGAAGCCGGGCATAATATGTCTGTGATACTAATTCCTTTTCCTTCTCCCAGGTTTCTCTAAGACCAAAACATGCAACGTAGTTTCTATCATGGAATTCACCTACTTCTCTGTGTTGCTATCATATATCTGAACCATAACTCCTTTGTATCAAATGATACTATTACTTGGACTTCCTGAGCTCTATCCTTTTGTGGTGGATTCCACATCAAAAGACCTATTAAGAATTAGCTGATCTGTCTTCTTTTCAAGCAAAAAAAATCTCTCCTTTTTCGCTTTTAGTTTGAGATTAAAAAAACTCGATAATGTTCTAAACAACAATCATTCGAGTGGATATAATCGGCTGAAATCAGCATTAAATCATTGTAGTTTCACAACTAATTTATTTGTATTGAGCCAAAATATAATGCCTAAAACTTGCGATGGTACCTGACGGATTGGAACCCATGCAAAGAGGAGGAAAGCGAGGAGGGACATATGGCGTCGCAGTACCCTCCGGCAGGCTTGTCCGAGACAAGACAACAACCGGATATGGTGGTCGAAGACGATGCCGGCGGCAGAGGAGGAGAGCCCCGGACGTCCCGGCAGCCGACATCGTCACCAGGGATCCTCCGCCGATACGCCGCCGTTGATGGACGGGGGAGAGACGGCGGCTAGCAATCGAGGCCGAGGAGGGTGTTTGATGCGCTCAGACGACAAAAGGGCGGTGAGCAGACTCGTCTGTCAACGTACCGCCCTCCGTAAAGCGAACAAAGAGACCCAAAAAAATACTTTTCCTTACCAAAACGTCCAAATTTGAGTTTCTTATTCTCACCACGGTTACCGTACTCGACGCACGCTGTACCTTTTACCTTCGTGCGTGACTAATTGTGCAATGCCAGTGAGCAGACTCTCCCGTAAACATACCGCACTCCGGAAAGCTAGCAAAGAAGTCCAAAAATAATTTTTTCCTTCCGAAAATGTCCAAATTTGAGTATCTTATTCTCATAGCGGTTACCACACTCGACGCAC